AAAAATGGAATCTTATGCAAATTGGCAAATATTTTCAACTGCATACTTTATATATATATTAAATTAAATAATATATTATTAAAATAATAATAGGTATTATTAAAAAAAAATGATATCTAATAACTGATGGATTCATTTATATAATAATGATAGGTACTATAAAGAAAAAAGCCACTACGGCGGATAGATTTATTTATTTAGAAAATAGAATCTTATGCAAATTGGCAATTATTTTCAATTGCATACTTTATATATATATATTAAATTAAAATAATATATTATATTAAAATAATAATAGACATTATTAAAAAAAAATGTCACTTAATAACTGATAGATTCATTTATATAAAAAAGTAGAATCTGATCAAATAATACTGAATTTTGAATAAAATATGTGGAAAATAATATATTAGATTAAAATAATAAAATAATAATAAACATATAGACACTACAATAATAGACATAAAGACACTACAATAATAGACATATAGACACTACTAAAAAAATATCATCTAATATTTTCAACAAAATACATGGAAAATGAAAATAATGTATACTGCAATTATTGCATGAATTCAATTATATGATAAAAATAATTTATATAGTCATTTTACCAGATACAGTATATATATTTATTAAAGAAGAATTTTATTTAAAAAACAGGCTCTTTTATAGTTTTTTTATGGCCATTATTTTTATTTATTAGAAAAATTTCAAAATACCAGTATTTAATATCATTCTGGTATTCTTAACATATATTAGGATTTATATGATATATTATTTTATTTCATACCTTTCTATTATTATAATATTATTATCTGAAATGGATTGAATAGTCAAATGAAGAAAAAACATAATAGGTGAAAAATGTGAAAAAGATGTCCTTTTTAAAACTGGAAATTCTTTATTATAAAATGAATTATTTTATTTATATTTATATTTTTTATTTTAAGTCAAGAATAACATTAAAGAGAAAGTAGATGAGAAATGTAAAAAGAATTGTATAAGCAGATGAAGATACTTAATTATCAGCTAATTACACTTAAATAGATAGAATATTATGATTTTCAATATAATTCAAGATCTTTATTCTTTCTAATGTTAAATCAAGAGTAACTTTTATGACTCTAAAATTTAAAAGAATATTATCATACAAGTAATTCACATATCTTTATTAAAATATAATGATATAAATGAAATTTAGCAATTAGCATTTTTTTAAAAAAGATATAATGGATATTACATAAGTAATATTTGTTTTATTATTATTAAAAATAGATTTTATATATTTATTCTTATATTATCTATTAGTTGAATAGTCAAATGAAAGGAAAAATATAATAGGTGAAAAATATAAAAAAGATGACCTTTTTAAACTGAAAATTCTTTATTATGAAATAAGTTAAATTAATTGTATTTTATTTATATTTATATTTTTTATTTTAAGTCAAGAATAACATTGGAGAGAAAGTAGGTGAGTAGATAAAAAATGTGAAAAAAAAATGATTTTTTTAAAACTGGATATTCTTTATTATGAAATAAGTTAAATTAATTGTATTTTATTTATATTTATATTTTTTATTTTAAGTCAAGAATAACATTGGAGAGAAAGTAGGTGAGTAGATAAAAAATGTGAAAAAAAAATGATTTTTTTAAAACTGGATATTCTTTATTATGAAATAAGTTAAATTAATTGTATTTTATTTATATTTATATTTTTTATTTTAGTCAAGAATAATATTGAAGAGAAAATAGGTGAGTAGGTAAAAAATGTGAAAAAAAATGATCTTTTTAAAATTGGATATTCTTTATTATGAAATGAATTAAATTAATTGTATTTTATTCATATTTATATTTTTTATTTTAAGTCAAGAATAACATTGGAGAGAAAGTAGGCAAGAAATGTGAAAAGAATTGTACAGGCAGATGAAGATGCTTAATTATCAACTTAAATAGATAGAATATTATAATATAATTTTCAATATAATTCAAGTTCTTTATTCTTTTTAATGTTAAATCAAGAGTAACTCTCATGGCTTTAAAACTCATAAATTTATAAAAGTCAAATTTATTTAGAGAGAATACCCACCATATAAGCAATTCATACATCTTTATTAAAATATTATATTTTATATAAACCAATTATTTTAAAGAATATTCATCATATACACATATATATATGGATCATATAGATCTCTGGCAATCTTTATTAATTATTATATTTTACATTAACAAATATTTTAGAAAAAACACTTACTATATCCCCCTTTTCTTTTTTATTAAACTATTGGTGAAGTGTAATTCATATATGGATTTGCCAACTTATTCAATTCTTAAATTCTTTTTTATGTAATTTTTTTATTATATTATACTTAATTGTATTGTAATTCTTCAATAATTTACTTTTAATATTTCTTTTAATTTTTAATAATAGTTATTCTCATCTACATTTTAAATTATAATTGATTAAACTTTGATAATTTACATTTAATAGAAATGTATTTTTTATTTATATTTTATAAATACTTTTTTTTATTTGTTTTTTGATTAAAATTATTTTGGGCAAATGAGAAATACAAAGAGTATATTTAATACTTTACAAATACACATCATATTATAAGAACACCTTTTGCTATCTGATTTATTAATTGGTATAAAAATCAAAACACTTTATGAATACAGATCAAATTTTCCTTAAATATCAGAACATTTTTCTAAAAATAAAATTTCTTATACTGATCGGGAAGTACTCCGGTATACACCCTTCCTGGAGGAAGGACAGTATGCAAATCGTGGAAATATTATTAATTTTCCACAAGATGTGCAAGAGTTCGCGGCACGACTTCTACATGATCCATGATCGTTGGATTTACTTATTGTTCGGCGTCATTCGGCCAGTCAATTCTCTCATGATCATGTTGCGCTCAATTGAGAATTTCATTAATTACCCTGTCTTCATTAAGTCTGGTGGGTAATGTTTGTGAGTTGAAAAAGTTTTCATCATTTTCGTTCTCATCTTCATCGTCCGGTTCTTCTTCGTGAATTGTGGAAGTTTTTCCGCAATCGAACCACTTTCAGGTAAAGTTTGTAATATTTCATCATCAATATCGATATCACGATAGAATTTTATTGTTTGCCTTCAGCCAATGAAGAGTTCGCATTACTTTTCCTGACGAATAAGAAAATCCAAAAATTTGGATCCATCTTCAGAAGCATAACAAAGTTTCTCCGGTTGATGAGTTTCATACCCCTAGATATATAGCAAGAGCATCTCCTACATTTTATCCTTGGAGGGTCGTGGACCTTAATGAACCCGGATAAAGAAATAAAACCGTCGGAATACTTTAAACATCTTTTAGTCTATAAAGATGGCCGATTTGCTCGACATCGACGGTGGCGTTACTTTGCCCTAAATTCATTAATGAGACGCAGAGCATCATCAGAAGGTAAGGTCGCGTATTTGTTCGACAAAATTTAGAGGAAGGGCAACTCACAGTAGACGATACTAGATTTAATGCAAAACGATACTCACATAGCAAAGTATTACGGTATGATGAAAGATTGCGTAGTACTATTCAATATTGGATGCGTCGTAGAGCCGTAGAGCTGAATTAGATAAGGTCTCAGAGAATGATTTCTTTACATTTAGCGCAGATATGCATGGGCAAGACCGCCGACGTAAAGATCTCATAAATAATAATCCCTTGAGAAAGTGTTAATTCCTAAATGGGGATTAGTTGACTGGTGGTATGGTATTGATTTGAGTGGCAACATCATGGTAGTGTTCATGTTCATGGCATTGCCAAGCGAAAAGAAGCGCCAGAAATCGATTGGGAAAACATGAAAAATAATGATAAAATAAGATTCTTTAGTTACAACAATCAATCCCGACCTGAATGCACCTCCATGCCAAAAGCACTCTGAAGACTTTAATGATAATAATGGTTACCTTAATTACCTAGAACTAACAACTGCCAGAAATGATCCACTTATAAATACAGGAATGGAGGGCAAATGTTGATTTGATACCCATCTTTACCAAGCAGTATGTTTCGAAGTATGCTAGTGAAGCGGAACCACGGTTCTTAGGGTCCTTAACCTTCTCAGAAAGCTCTTCGTAATGATAACCCAATGATCCAGCTGTTAAAGCATTCCAAAAGTTGCTCATTCACACAGTACAGTCGGAGAACGTGATTTTCGGCGCAAGAAACTTGTCATCATCTTCAATTACCGCTCTATCATAGTAGCCGAAATTTTGTTAGTCTAAAACTTAACAAAGAGGTGAATCAACAGCTTCGTGATAGTAATGAAAATAATCCAAATAATGAGAACAATGGAATTATATAACAGATGCCTCACCTCTACAAAGATATTGTAATAGACTCTCCCACTTCGAAATGGTTCGTTATAGAGACCTTCTTAGCCTCACAGAGAATCACACCCTTTCATGGATTGATTTATACAACCAACATCTTGTAGAAATCAATGATGACCCTGATGACTTAATTGGACCTGCTGTGGATGATATTCAAGAAGTTGATGGTAACGATTCTGATGAAGAAGACGACGACACACCACAGGAAGCGTATGAACTTCGAACTGACTGGATGTTACTGACTGAAATGATGCCAAATAGACAGACGCGTAGCCTAGATGACTTTAGTGCCAGCGATATTGATAGAATCACGACTGGGTTAACGAAAGTTTGCTACGATATCATGAAATTGAAGAGGCAGAAAGCTTTATCCAGCAGGCAATTGGTAACAACTAAGTAACTCAAGTTGGAAATAATTCAGCTAGTATCGACCTTAGAACTCTAAGTGGGAAACAAAGGTTAATACGTGAAAGAGTAGAATCCATGGCACCTTTAAGAATTATTATCATGGGTACTGCTGGAACCGGCAAATCTTACCTTATTAATGCTATCCGGAGCACTATTCATTCGTCACTTTCTGTTCCAATATGCGGGGTAAACATTGAGAATCTTTGAAGAAACTCCAAAGAAAACTAAAATATATAGAATATTTTATAATCGATGAAATGAGTATGGTAGGACGTCGTTTTCTTGCTATAATTGATTTACGACTGTGGCAAACATTTCCGGATCACTACAATATTCCCTTTGGTAGCCGATCCATAATTCTTGTTGGTGACTATGGGCAGCTTCCTCCGGCATGTGATGTTCCCGGACTCTCTAGATCATATGGTCGTAGTGCCTATAGTCAACTTCAAGAAATTTGTAAAATTGAGGCTATGCAAAGACAACAGGTAACTCGGATAAACAACAACAATTCAGATATCACTTACGTGATGGAAGGTCTACACGATCCGACTGGGAATTATTAATGAATTCCAGAAAATAATCCTGAATCAGAGAGAAAAACTTCAGATGCCATCAATGTTCTACAACATGGGGAGAAGTGGATAAAATAAATTTAAATAAACTTCGATTATTAAACCAACCCGTTGCTAAGATTCATGCGGTACATACGGGTGGATCTGAAGCTTCTAAGGTCTGCAGAATGCTGCTGGTCTTATAAATGGGGTAATAGGGACAATAACAGATATTTTATATAAAGAGAAGCCCGAGTAAACCTCTTTACCTGAGTTTAATTTGACAGTATAACGGTCCAACTCTTAGGAATATAGAAGGGTCTATTGTTCTATAAGACGTATGTGGGAAGATAAAAACGGAAGTTGCTCTCGCTTGCAATTTCCACTTTCTCTTGCGTGGGCCATCACAGCTCATAAATTGCAAGGTCTGACTTTATCAAAAGCAGTAATAGACCTTGGGAAGAAGGAATTTGTGGCTGGCTTGTCATTTGTAACAATTTTCCGCGTTCGTTCTCTTGATGATATTCTTTTCAAACACTTTAGTTTAAACAGACTTGAGCGTAAAAAGGTTGAAAGAGCGATTAACGGAAGAAACTAGATTAAGTGGAATACAACGATTGAAATTTTTCTCGTTTTTTTAATAACCAAAATTTTTATTTTGGCTTTTTCGTTGAAAAAAGATTATCAGAGTATCTGTGTTACAAATAAAACGTTATTAGTGGATCAACTTTTTCTTATAATACAAATAAAGATGGTCATCGGTCCTAAAAGACCGCGGTCCTACGGTCCTACACCATAAAAAGACGGACCGGTCCGTCTTAGTGTAGGACCGCGGTCTTTCGGTCCTGTATCACATATAATAAGACCGTCGGTCTTTTAAGGACCGCAGTCTTTTTAAGACCGATCAGTCTTTTTTCTTTTTTTTTTACAAATAAAAAAATTTTTTTCCTTAACTTTATTAGGAATAGCCTTGTCTTATAAATATGAACACTAATCGGGATGTTTTTAAATATACAAATTTTTTTTTTACAAATGATCATCACATGCGTCATGCACTTACTATTATTGTATTGGTGATAATAATCGTGATATCTCGCCATCCAGTGA